ATCGCCCATACAATGGGCTCGCAATCAACTGGAAACTACTTTCAACGGGAAGGTATTAACACCTTTTCAAAGGTGTGGGCCAATTGATATTTCTGCATTTTGCAATTGCATCGGATGTAGCTTTACAGATTTTCATTAACTGGGCATAATAAAAAATATATCACTATAACATCTACGGATTTAGTTCCTTTAACATAACTTTTTTAAAAGTAATAACTTTCAGCCATCTAAATTCGATTTTGAAAAGAATTCCAGCACTTCTTCCCATTGTAAGTGCAGTTTTTGGGCAACCATTTTTTTTCTGGCAAATTGTATCTGTACTTCTATGTATTTTATCGTATTTTTTTATTTTTTTTAGTTGGTCCTTGGTGGCTGCTCTATTCTAAAGCGACAACAGAATAAATTTTGGTTGGACAATTCGGCTTCATTTTTTGTGAAACTGGTAGCAAATCCCCAATGCAGGCGACTCAAGCTGGCAAAACATACGATGCACATTCATATTCATTTTGGTTCTTAGGGTGGAAACAGAGCCTTTGGGAATTAGACGAAGCACACTTGTCCAACACATGGAAGTGAGTTTATCCTTTAATTTAAAATTTCACACACTTCTGCAAGTTCTCTTTTGATTTAGTTGGTATTTTTGTTTTTTTTTTCCAGCCAGCCATTAATTATGGATTTTATTATTTGAAAACTTTTAAAATGCTTAGGCATTCATTCGAACACATACAACTGGCATGGTTTAACTTATTTAAAAGTCTTTCATTTCTGTGTGTTTTTGCGACTTAATCCTGGCCTGCAGATCCTGCTCTAATTGGCAGACTTCCGGCAGCCTGTCAAACATCCTTGCATATAAAACCGAAATCCAAGAAGAAAAATCCGAGAGGGAGACAGTTGAATTTTTCCATTCAACTGCCTTCACTTGGTGCCCTATGCAAATGATGTTAGATTACGCAAATATTTACATTATTTTCCTCGCCATAGGTTAGTTTTCCCTGCGCTCGGATATTTATTTATACTATGCGATTGTTGCCTTTTGTTCAAATTCAACTGAAATGCTTCTCATTTGATTTAAGCATAATGCAATTATTTCCGTTTAATTTTCAGCAAATACTTGAACGCATATCATTTGCATATTTGACGGAGAAAAGTGAGGGGGTTGGGTGAGTGGAGCATTAAAAGAAAAGTTGAAAATCAGCCAAATCAAAAAGCCAAAAACTTCCCTGGCATTTGTTTTAATCTTTCGAGTTTTCCAACTTCCGAGCGAAACACACTTTGAACTGGGTTTTTGACGAACTTAAACGGAATATATGATTTCTACAAGCGTCTTCGCCTTTATTCAAAAATTCTTTCTATCGATAGGTTCACTGTAGGTTAAGAGTTTTTTTTTAACTTTACCCTTGCCACAATGCCTGTTAAAAATTCCATTAAATACAACGTGCAAAATCCACAAAACTTTACGCCCTGCATTCCACTACAAGTATATATCCGTGCAAGTATACTCTAAATATTCATGTTTTATTTACGTTTTCAGCGAAGGCAAACAACATTTGCTCCTTCATTTTTTGTTAACTTTTTCTATTTAAATTATCGCAAAAATTTTGGCCAAGCGAATGGGATTGAATGCGGGAAATTGACGTTGAAAAAAATTCCTTTGACTTGTTACATTTTTCAACAATTTGCTCGTACTTCCCGTGCTCTTTTATTGCTTTCGGTTTGTTTTGGTCTATTTTCAAATCTGTTTGCCAAAGCGAATTTTATGTTTGTACATTTCCAAATTTGCTTCTATGCCTTTGTACATTTTTTTAAACAGGCTGAGGGTCCTTGTTTATATTTTAAATGGGTACCTCTGACTTTCGGCTTCATTACAAATTTTATACATACTTTTTATGAAAGAACGGTGTCTATTTATATGGTGTGAGCTGATTTATTTTTAACTTGTTAGGCACAACAAAATTGTTGGCGGAACTATACAAGTGCTTTTAAGCCGCTTTGCTTGCTAAAAATGACTCGCAAGCCCCTAAAAAATATTTTGGTTGTGATCTAGGCCATACGAAAAACGTGTTAATTTTATTTTGAAAATTTACCAATCAATTTGTATTATATTTTCCAATGTTTGGAACATGATTGATGATTATTCTCCGACTTTCGATGAACTAAGAAATTAAAAATTGACCCATTTTGAAGTCCCATGTTCCAGCTTAAATGCACTAAGTAAACTTTTGAATATTTAATTTAGTTTTACGTATTTTCTACGCTTGTTTGTTTTTTAAATATTTATTATGCCACTTGTTCTAGGTGGCAGCTGTACTCTGGCTGTCCATTGTGTATCATTTGAGCGGCAAAAGAGCAACAACAATTCACTTTTCTGCGATGCCTATGATTGTTTGGCTTTCTTTTTGTTGTTCAATTAAATATATTCCAGTGCAGCCCCAACCATGAACCCCATACTCCACCCCCCCTCGCCTTTAGCCCCGCCGTCTGTTGTTATTAAAAAAGTTTTTTGAGTTTTTTATTTGAATTTGCATGAGAGGAGCACCGGCCAAAGTGGAAAAATAAAACAGAGTAGAAATGTACTTGCACTCCTAGTGCGAAAACTAGTACAGCAATCCGACAAAGCGATAATAACTGACCGATTGGCTAAGTTTTGTAATTATTGCCAATATACCCAGAAACGCTGAGCAAAAAAAAGCAAAAAATGAAAAAAATAAATTAATAACGAAACTTTTGCAATCACTTAGGAGGGAGGGAGCTCTTATATGAGGTAAGCCAATACAATCGCCAAGCAGAAACGAAAGAAATCTAAAGAATCGAGCTTGGCAAATACAATTTTTGTGTGTGTTTCGTTTAATTGCTTAATTTAATTTGCATGAAATCCACGGCAAGGCAAACAAAGGCAAAGCTCCAGTGGAAAACCGAATAAAAACCTACCAAAGTTCTTTTGTTGAGGCGGCTTCGTCGTCGTCGGCGGCGAGCAAACAAAAAACACTGGCAAAAATACGTTTCGCAAGTTGTCGCTAGTTGTTGTTACTATTATTTTTTACTCTTTTCCTCTTTTTTTTTTTGTTGTTGTTGTTGTTGTATTTAACACTTCACTGGCTACTTTGGCATGTCCCAAGAACACTGCTCAAGTGGTCGCAAAGAACTGATGGGGCCTTTACTTTGGGTGGTTCCCCCAAAAATTGATTTCGCTTATTCTGTTGGATACTTTATGCACTTTTGCATACAATTATGCGTCCACAGCACAGCACACTCGTAAATGATTTCTGCCTTCTATTTTTTTACTTTTCGCATTCAAACGCACTTGTTTATGACTTGGGTGTATTTATTTCGGCTCTCTGAACTTTACGACAGACAACTCGATGAATGGATTTTCCACGCTTTAGGCACCAGAACTTTTCCAGCTCAGCTTGGTTTCAACTCCGTTAGACGACTGAATCGCTTTGTGGCGAGCCATCGCAATTTTATACGTCCGTTCTCGAGTCGCCAAAAAGCTCGGCTTTCCGCTTCGGCTTTCTGGCCGACTTGGTTGTGGATCGGAGGGGGGCTGTGGGGCTATAAAGCCACTGCGCAGGCGCTGCGATGCTCGTGGAAAAAATATAAACACAAAGCAGCTGGCCGAGCTCAGCTGTTTCTTGGCCAAAAGCCGGCAACAACAAGCCCCACATGTGGCCAACTCGGTCGGCAGAGGAGGGGGGCAGTTGATGGGGCGCCAGGGGGGCCAAAGCTTCGGCATTGCCGACCGCGCAAACACAATAATTTCATGTTGTTCTTGCCCACGAAAAACCAAATAAAGCAAGGTAAGCGCCTAAGATCCAAACACCCAAACAGCAGCAGCGCCAATAAAATCTGTGGGGCTTTAACAGGTGGCAATGTCATGATTTCGCGCAGAAAATAATATGCATAAATATAAATAAATGTATGTATATATGGTTTTTTCCTCTGAAGTCACGGGTGTTGAAAATTGTAACGAAACTTCAGCAAGTGCGCCTAACTTTATATTTTCAAAAACAAATTTTTTACAAAAAATACTTTTAAAGCATTTTAGCTTAACCAGTAAACCATTTTCAGCCAGATATCTACTATTAATTCTTACTATTAATTCGTTTACAATTCGTTGCAAATACAATTTTTTCATGAATAGAAATACAAATAAAATATGCTAAAAAGATTATCAGATGACATGAAAAATGACTTTTTAATTAATAACACGTTGAATAGCACAGCAAACGACTACTGAAGTATTAAATTACTGTGCAAAACTTCCAATAATATTCAATAACATGAGCAGTTTTGCTTAAAATCGTTTTTATTTTATAGTTACATAAATTACATTTTTAAGCAGCACATTTGCGTATCTGTTCATATCAAAATTGCCAAATTTTACTCCAAGTGTTTGTTACCTTTATGAATAATGCCATTATTGCACGAAAGAATTGCGAATTTTCAGCGGCATTTAATTATAAGTTCATTAATTGATTATTTTTGTTCACTTAATTTGCACGTTTTGTGCAACAATTGTTTACATTTTATCGGTTCATCTGTTGACTGCCAATTCGCAAAAAATATTCGTCGCAGAAACTCCGTCGCAAAATCCCAAGCAAATCAAATCGAATCGCATCGCAAAAGTAGCAACTAAAAAACTGGACAAACTCGCTTTAATTAGAAGCAAAATAATATTATGTGGACGGTATAAATCGAAATTTGGTACTTAGACATGTGAAATGGTAAATATTAATGCGTGGCGAGTTCCTTGAACTTTTATTCTAATTTTTTCATTTCACCCAAATCACGAGGGTGACATCAGAGATTTTGTGAATTAGAGATTTTTATGAATTAATGAGATTATTAACCGCACAAGAACGTAACAGAATTACTAGTAATTCTAGCTTCTGTTTAAAAGAAATCAGAAAAATATATCTACATATATGTATAATAAGCATTTAGGATTTTTTTCATAGGATATATTTAAAGGATCGTTATTCAGCACTGATCATGGTCTATAACTAGGATTTTTTGAGTTGCCTGATCTTCGAATCTTCGGTAATTTTAACCGCTCTTAATGCGGTCGCATTATCAAAGCAGTAACTTACAGTTAGTTGCTTTTCGCAAATCTTATTGCACGTTTTTTGTCGTCTTGTGCTCGTGGAAAATAATATTTGTAAAATTGCAGAATGGAGCGCTACAATCGCGTCTATAGAGGTAGTACTGCTCATACTATTAAATAGCAAAATACAAATGTTTCTCTGCATTTCCATAGATCCCGCATCTCCACTGACCCCACTAACTCCCCTCTCCACCGAAGCTTTTACATTTGAAGACGTCACGCCCACTGGCAGGAAGGGTTCCTCGAAATATGGACTCCTTGGAGTGCCGAAGGCCAACAATCTCACTGTTCCAAACAGTCGACCGGCATTGTCCGGCCTAAAACGGCTATCAGAATGCACCTTGCCCACGCGATTTTCACAAAAATTCATGCGCACGCGATCCGTATTCTCGCCCACAAGTCAAAGTACCCTGCTAAATGGGGAGACCAAGCTGCTCGGTGAATCCGAGGATTCGAGATTGCGAACCAAGAGGGAAGACAGGTCAAAGCCGGATATCCGACTGCAGCAGGAAACGCTGCTAAGGCAGGAGGCAGCCAAGTTGAGGAGTGCGCGGTCAAAGATTAAAGTGGAGCAGCCAAAGAGTCCCAGTCCCAGTTTCAAGCATCCACGCTATAAGCCCTGCTCCCCGGTGGAGCATCCCACGCTGAGTCCTCGTGTCAAATCCCTGCTCGATCGCACCGGGAACGAACATCTCACGGAGCTGTTCACGCGCCAGGAGATCGACATCGATGTGCTCATCCAAATGACCCTGGAGGACTTGGCGGCACTGGGCGTCCGCGGCGCCCGGGAGATCCGATTGGCCATGAATATTATCCAACTGGCCAAGCAGTTCTTCTGATTGTATACCCTGTGGGATTTCTGCTAATTTTAAACTGTTTTATGTCATGTGGATTTGAATTTGTATGTGAGCTTTTAATATATGTTTAATGTGGTCATAAAATATTTGTATTTGCATATTTATTTAAATTCTGAGTTCAACCTAAACACACTGTCTTAACTGATTTCATATATTTGAGCGTCAGTTCTGGAAAATAATACATCAAATGTTTTTTTCCGTGTATAAGCTTAGCTGAAATCCTTAGCAAACTCACCAACCCTAGAAAAATTCACACTAATATACCGCAGAACAGTATTTGTTGTAGTATCTTTTCCGGGCACGCTAGTGTACTTCAGAATTCGCACCGCGGTCACACTGAACACGTGTTTCGAACCAAAAACCGCAGTTCAAACAAAATATCCACGTTTTTAACAGAAAAGCAATGGTTAAAGTGAAAGTAGAGCGCTCCGAGGATGCCAATGAGTCCGTGGTGGTCAGCGGCGATGTTACCATCAAGGAGGAGGAGTCCTACGACGACAAGCTGATCTTTGTGAACGCAATCGCGAAACCGATGGCAGGTAAAAAACTGGCCAAAAAGTGCTACAAACTGGTGAAGAAGGCCATGAAGCACAAGACCTTTCTGCGCAATGGATTGAAGGATGTACAGACTCGCCTGCGCAAGGGCGAAACTGGGTAAGTGCTGGGCGAATTCCCCCCTGAACGCAACAATTAATAGCCGCATCTTCTCCAGACTCTGCATCTTTGCTGGCGATGTTACACCTGTGGACATCATGTGCCACTTACCCGCCGTTTGCGAGGAGAAGGGCATCCCGTATGCCTACACCCCAAGTCGGGCGGATCTGGGAGCTGCCATGGGCGTGAAGCGCGGCACAGTCGCCTTGCTGATCCGCCAGAACGAGGAGTACAAGGACCTGTACGATGAGGTCAAGGAGGAGCTGTCTGCACTAAACATACCCGTCTAGATCTGTAGTATTAGGTCCGCCTGCTAATTAAGTACCTAGTTAAGTTCCAAACGTACTAATAAACTTCAGAGCATGCCGATTCTTTTGGCATCACGAAATCAAATTTATAAACGCTATCTTTTGCATCCGATTTTCTAACTACAAGAGTCTAGTAAGATACAAAAGAAATTGTTGAGTACAATCTTGCGCTCAAACGAAGTTCTGATTTGAAACGTTAGTTAATAGAATTGTCGTAATAAAAGGGAATATTCTTGAAGCGATCCTATATAGTCAGTTATAGTTAGTTGGGTTAATGGAGATAGTTCCAAATGAATAATTTCAAGCCATGTAATTTCGAAATCAGTTAGGATGGAATGACTGCTGGTCTAAAACAGTTTTCTGCCGGCAAAGGAAACCAAAATTGCAAGTTTTTTTTTGCTGTCCCTTGGGGATCTTTTTTGTTTTCTCTTTTTTTTGTGATTTTTTATAAGTATTTTCAGCGTAGCTGGTTTCATATAAATTGTTTTACATATACAATACAGTTGAAATGGAGGAATTTCGTTAGGCTTCTGGTTTCTGTTTCTGTATCTGGTTCAGTTTCAGTTTCTGTTTCTGTTTCTGTTCTCGTGGTGCTCGATGTGTGGTGTGTGCTGGTATTATTGTTTTTAGTTAGTTGCTGTATGTGTGGTGTCTAAATTTACATATAATTTAACACTAAATGTGTTCGTGTAGCAATGTATGCAATGTATTTCCTAGATCGTTTAACAAATGACATGAATCGTAATGAGGAGGAGGGGGATTATTAAAAGTACAATTTCTTGTTTATTAAATGTAATTTTCGTTCATTTTGTATCCGCTTTTTAGTTGGTTGTTATGCATTACATTGGTTAAATAATTACAATTATATAAAGTTAATATGTTTACGCTATCCAAGTCGCTAGCCAAAATACTACGATAAAACTCAAAGATTGATTAAATACTCTTCTTATCCAAAACTTCTTATATTTCTTGCTTGCATTTCTCTCTCGTATGTTTTACAATTACCAGTCGTCAAATCGGACTAAACGATGAGTGGATGGGGATTGGGTTGTAATTGGGGGAATTTTGGGGGCGGTCAACAATCGTAATATAATTTACACATGCATCGACAATTTCGGATGGGCAAAGGAACAAATAACTCGTGCACAAATTTAAATATTTATATGCATATTATATATATGTTTTGTATGTAGGTAAGTATGTATAATTCGTACACAAAAATGTTCATATCCCTTAGAGCCTTTAAATATATATATAATAGGTATATAATCTGAAGTTACAGTTAATAAGGATAATAATTTATGTATTTGAGTGCGTGACAAATTTTCAGTTTTAATGTTTTTGTTAATATTTTTTGTGTGTTTTTTTTTTTGCGTTTGTTTTGTTTTGTTTTTGTTTTCAATAGTCAACTCCTGTACAAAATTGAAACTTTTAACTGAGAAATTAAAGGTAGAAAACGAACTGAAGGCTCACGTAGCGCATAGGCTACGCACTAAAAATAGAAAAAATTTACAATACAAATTTTCTTGAATATGCTTACATCTAAAGCTAACTATGCATTTTGCAGTTTATAGTTATTACATATTTATTTCATTTTTTTGCGATTTTTATGTTTGTTTGTTTTTGTTTTTTTTTTTGTTAGTTTTTTCATGTTTTTTATTTATTTGTTTGTATGTTTCAAGAGTCTAATCGATAAGGTTTTCTTGTGTAGGCGTTTAGGTTTTCATTTCTGGGCTGCTCAGAGCAACCCGTTGGATGCTGGGAGCCACGTGGGCGGCGCCTGAGGCGGCCTTGGGGGCGTGGCAGAGGGCTAACAGGGGGCGGGGCTGGAGGGCAAGGGTAAATGGTGATGGGTGAAGGGTGAAGGGTCAACGACAACAAATCCCCGCTGCGGCATTTGGGCGAGCTTTAGTAACCACTAAACATTAACTAAATAGGTATGTATGTATATTATTAATTAATTATAATAATTCACACGTTTAACTTAAGACTACCGTAATTAAATAATTTGCAATTTAAAAGAAAGCAAAAAATTAGGATAGGGACAACTATAATTAAGAAGCAGTTCTTTTTCGTTTTCTCTTCCGTTTTTCCCATTGTCTGGGGCTTTTTTTGACGTTTTTTTTTTTGTTCAGCTAAGAATTTTGCAATTTTTTTTGTTGTTAATTTTCTTCTTTTTTTTTGTTGTTTTGCTTTTCATTTTTTTGTTGTTGCTTTTAGATTATGACCCTTTGATGCCACAGCAGGTGATGTGCTGCCGCCGTCACCGCTTCTCACTGAAAGTAGTTGTAGAATCCGGTCGTGGCCTGTCCCAACTCCCGGATAGCCGCAAACGGATCCTTCTCCAGAAGATCGTTGCCACCAACCGCCTGCGCTCCCTTGCCGCCCGTTCCCGAACCAGCCACGCCCGCCTGCGCCTGCGACTGTCCCGGCGATGGTCCTGTTCCAACGCCTCCGCCAACCACCGCCTGTGGTCCCTGGCTCAGCACAGCCGCATAGGTGGTTGCCGACGAGCCGGAGGACTGCTGGTGATGATTAGCCGCCTCCGAGTGCGGAACACTGGGCGCCATGGCCTGGAACAGATCCAGTTCGTGACCGCCCTTCAGCGTATTGAAATTGTTGTACAGCAGGCCGTGCATATGGTCCGACGACTTCACCGAGTGATCCACCACCGAGTTGTTGGCCTGAAAGAGTGCCTCTATTAAGTTGGCACCCGCGTCCATTCCATGCATGTTGTTGTAGCCCCCATTTCCGCCTCCAATCCCATTTCCGGTGAGCGCCTGTCGGCGGTACAAAGGCACCGAGTTGTTGCCATTGGTCAGCATTCCATTGTTGTTATTACTGTTGTGTGCGGCAACTCCTGCGCCGCCGATTCCGATCCCGACACCACCAACTCCGGCGCTGTTCAAGCCCACGTTGTTGTGCATGCCCACGTTGTTGTAGGGCTTGTCATTGAGCAGAGCGTTTCCGGCTGGTTAGGAGTAAATATATTAGAACAATAACTAACAAGACCCTAGCGACTTCTATTTTGTTGACACTTGACAATGGGTTGAGATCAAACCCAATTCTTGTGCTCTACTTTCTTACCATTGCCCATAAAGTTGGTGTTTCCGACGCCGCTCAGATTACCTCCGCCATTGGGCGGCGCCGGGTGAAGGCCAGGTCCGCCCAGATGATTGGGATACAGGGGTCCAGGTCCTGGCGGTGGCTTTGCCTGTTGCTGCTGCTGCTGTTGTTGCTGCTGCATCATTGCAAAAAGGCGGCTTTGCTGCTGCTGCTGCTGTTGTTGCTGCTGCTGCTGCTGCTGCTGGAGATCGGCTCCGTTCAAACCGTTGCTAAGCGGAGGACCAGGAACATTGCCCGTGCCAGCTACCATGCCCAGGACATCGCGCAGTATGGGCTGCGCTACATCATTGGCCCCATTCATAATCGAATTGAAGACAAGATCGATCTGCTGGTTGAAGTTCTCCAGCGGCGGTGAAGCATCCACAGATTGCTGTGGCGGCTGCTGCTGCTGTTGACCTTGTGGATACATCATGGGGTACTGAGGTCGCTGCACATGTGGATTGTTGAGCATCGGGTTGTTAACCATCGGTTGCTGCGGTGGCTTATGTTGCTGCTGCTGCTGCTGCACTGTGGCCATCACCTGGCGCAGCATATCGGCAAACTTGTTGGCGCCATCCTGGCCCACGGTTTCAATCAGTTTAAGGTACCACTTGTATTGCTCCTCCTTCGGATTAAAAGCCATTTCATAGATGCTCACATTGGGCGGCAGTAGCTCGTGCGTGGGTGGGCCAAATCTCATGGAGCTCGGCGACGGTTGCTTGCCAGCGTACATAAAAAGATTGGGTGGCGGCTGTGGTTGCTGCTGTGGTGGCAGTGGTGGTGCTCCCGGATTGTAGCCACTTCCGTTGTGCCTCAGATAGGGTGGCGGTGGCGGTCCGTTCTCCATGGGCGACATGGGTCCGTTCGGCACACTGCTGCCCCTCTGCATTCCCATCGGCGGTGGCTGCTGTTGTTGCTGCGATGGAGGCGGCGGTGGTCCTGGGCCGGGTCCATAAAGCTGATGGTGCG